CGGATACGCAGTGAAGAAGACCACCCCTTCCCCTATAGATATGAAGGTATATGTTGAAGTGGATACGCGGATACGCAGTGAAGAAGACCACCCCTCCCCTTCACACCGAAAACGAATTTTTTGGAATACGGTCTCCAGGAGGAACAATTGAAAACGCCGGCTAGCCGTATTAGTGTGGACGATGAACATTTCGTATCCGAAATTTTTCGAATACGATGACGTCATGATTGTCATGTGAACATGGCGGGAAGGCTAAGAATTCACTGCAGGTTCAATTTCAGCTTCGATGCACATGCTCAGATGTGCAATGAAGCGTTTTTGCCGCCTCTGATCGGACTAGCGTAGACGCGAAACATTTTATTCGTGTGGACGGAAAACTTCTTTTTTCGGTTTCGGTGTGAAAGTTGCGGATTCAAATTTATCCGGCATAGTGTGGACGGGACCTTAGTATAGTGATTATATATCACTTCTTACGCCTGGTTCCAAATTTTGCAAATTTTGCAAGTTTAACTGTCTTGGGAATGCGGCTTGCAACCATCAATAGTTAGTAAAGGGGAACCGGCCTCTACAAAGTATGCTCAGTAGGAAAATTGATTTAACTTAATACACCGTATGGTTTGTGATGTTTAGAAACTGACGTTTCGGACGTTAGTCCTTCGTCGGAGTAAATGTGGAGTAAATACTCCGACGAAGGACTAACGTCCGAAACGTCAGTTTCTAAACATCGCAAACCATACGGTGTATTAAGTTAAATCAATTCTCCTACTGTTCGATTCCAAACACCGACGCGGTTAACTAGTTTATCTAGTCTCTACCATAAAGTATGCTCAGTTTGACCTCTATTCTCACTGAATAAATTAGCGCGGAGCAGTATAAATTAACCCGAAACACGTGCTTCGTCGCATTACCTCGCAAGACATCGGAAGGGCAAGTTCGCCCACCCCCCTCCCCTGGTGACGGTGGCGTACCTCTTTCCCCTTGCTGTTTACCTCATCACGTCGCGGATCTTGCCCCATAACTTAATTACTGCGACGTGACAATGGTATTCAGTGAGGATATAGTGCAATAAAAACACAAAACGATTCTCGTACGTGCCTATGAACTGAAGGAGTAAGTTACAATTTTCTAAGTGATTTTCTAATTTTATTTCTCTGAAAGCTTTATTTGAAACATTTTACTGGCTAAGACTAGTTGCCTATGAGTTGGAGAAGTAAGTTACGATATCGTAAGAGTGAGCCTTTGAAACATTTTACTGGCTTCAACGTCACTCACAGCCTAATTTATTCATCAATTATTTTTGAACCAACTTTGTGAGCTTCAAATCAAAAATACCAAAACGCGCGTTTTCTTTCTCAAGATAGTTCAAAAACAGATCAGATAATTAGAAATTAGTTTTCCAAGACTAGTTGCATACGAATTGGAGAAGTAAATTACGATTTTCTAAGATAAAAAATCCATTTATCTGGAAGAGAGCTTTTGAAACATTTTACTGGCTTCAACGTCACTCATGAGATAATTTATTCATCGCGAATGAGCTTTGAACCAACTTGGTGAGCTTCAAGTCAGTACCAAAACGTGTGTTTTCTTTCTCAAGATAGTTCAAATATGGCTCAGAAAATTAGAATTTAGTTTTTCAAAATAAGTTGCATACGAATTGGAGAAGTAAATTACGATTTTCTTAGAGAAAAAAATCTATTTATCTCTTCAACTTTTGAAAGATTTTACTGGCTTCAACGTCACTCAAAGAGATACCGTAAGTTATAGGGCTTTTAAGCTGTGACGTATTTCCGSGTCTAATCACACAAAAGATCGCTAAAATCTTGCYACAACTTATTCCYAGGATTTATTCTYTACCTTMAACAATTAGACACACAATCCTGCTATGACGAAAAAGCACAGAAAAATGTCTGTAGGCTCTATTCTTGAACAATTTTGAAGTGGCTTAGTAACGGCTTCAAGNATTATAAAATGCTGACTTATTACATATGTTTTTGGAAGTGTTTTGTGACAATAATTTTTTCAAGAATAGAGGTTATAGGAAACAATATTATTCAAAATATTTTTTCCTCTTAAAAATATTGATAACACAGATTCCATAATTCATAGCTTTGACTCYATTGTGCTTATAATAATGGTAGCTCATCTAGCGACTTATTTGCTTAGACTGCAAACAATATAACTGTGAAACTTTAGTAAAGCTAAATAGCACACTTTCATGCAAATTCCATTGTTTTCTATTGTTTAATTAGCACTATTTTGTACTATTTAGTAATTAGTGTTTCACGRATTAATTGTTTGCACTCTATAATATTGATTGTTKGGYYWMTAAMATTGRAAGTATAAACCTTGATAACTTAATGTCAGATGACCACATTAAGTGGCGGTCCTGTCTCCAATTCTTTGCTTGCAATGCACGTCACTTCCGGTTCATTATGTATGCATATTTAAGCAACTTGTATATATCAATCCTGTTAAATACAATGTTTTTAAAATGGCATTATATTTTCATAGTCAAAAACTTACATTATATTACAATCRAAATGATAAAATACCTTTTTAACATGTGCTGGCATCAACCATTTACTCTTTTCCATTGTGCAAGTGGAAGACTCRCGCATACGAACTGCAGTTTCAATGTAGTAAAGAATAGCTCCCACATGTGAACATGACTCTGCCAGCCTATAGATAGATATGTAAAACTTAGAAATTAAGACGTCAAATATCAATGCATAGAAGTCTTTTCTCTTGATATGTCTATCTTTTACATTGAAATCAAATGCTTTACCCTGCCATGCAGTTGCAATGAGCTGTAATGACTTCGCCATCTTCTTTGAGGATGACCCAAGTCTTCAACGGTGTTTTAGTTGATCTCTGRGAATGGTTGACCTGCAAAGACAGGGAAATAATGATTTTGCTGTAGCTAGAGGTTTAACAATTTGTTTATCTACACATGGAAGACATTACTTATTATTATAGGCACAGAAAACGCCACACACACAGATGTAAAAACGACTGTCTCAGCTTATATTCTTGGATACGTACCCTTGCAAAAATAAGGTGATTATTGTCTTTGAGGATCTTAACACCAACATCACTAACCCATCCACACACGAAGAAGTTATAAGCTTCAAGGCTTTTGAAGGCTTTCATCTGAGATTTGGTATAAAACAATGTTTGGACTAAAAGATAGGTAGAAATGTCCGCGAACTGAAGGTCGGGAAAGATGGCGAAATCCTTAGAAAAGTCCTTTGTTTTCATAGAATATGGATCAATTCCATCACAGATAGATATTTTGTTGATATATCTTGACTTGGATATGCAGTCAAGATTACTAGCGTACTCTGAAAGAGCGTTTTTTGGGACAGATTGATCGTTCACTTTACCCGCGCGAGGAGCCATCTTTGTTTACTTGACCGTCACTTGGAAACCGGAAGCAAAATTTCAGTCAAATTGTCACGTGATTGCAAGCAAAGAATTTGGGGACGTAAATGAACCACTGAGGATGCATTAAACCCTTACAGTGACCACCCTCAGTGCCAGCAATGAGATCRGTTTTGGATGGAAATAAATCCTCACCCCATCTCCATGACTGGGAAAACATATTTGATTCCCATTTGTTAGTGTTTGTTGGGAAATAATTGTTGTCCATAAAAATTAACTCCAATAATCTACAAAGTCTGAGTTTGTCCCCCCCTCCCCTGCCCATTTTTTCTCTTTATTAAGAATTCCTCCCACCCCACCCCCCAATATTTTTGAATTTGGAATTGCCCTATTTCATAATGACGTCACATCAAAACAAACTATTGTTTTAACGCTAGGGATCATGGTCGCTGGAGGGGGATGGAATGACAACCACACATCTTAAATCACAATGAAATTTGGTTTATAAGCTGGTGAAGGCAAGAACAACTAAATATTACTCTAAATATCTCGAAAGAAGAAAATTAAGCTTGAATTTTGCCTAAATTTGTATCATTTTAGCCAGTGTAAGCAAACCGTGACGTCATTATGAAATAGGGCAATTGAAAATTTTTTCCTTGGATGACTGGGCTAAAACTATTTTAGCTGGTCATTGYAACTGACTAGCCATTATGCTAAGCACTGGACTTTTTAACAGAAAAATGTTTAACCTAGTCTGACTTATATGTATGGAATCAGTCTATATATTGATCAATTTATAATGAATGATTTTCTTAAATTTGAATTTTCTTTTTCAGTTTCAGAGGTGGAATAATATTTGGAGATGGTTATGATTAATTTTCTCTGCTCCCTTGGTCTTGTTGGTAACCATATTTGCTGGTATGTTAGATGTATTATGCTTGCACAAGAAAATAGAAAATGGTCTTGAGTAAAACATTGCTATCTGCTGTGGGAAGGTTCATGAGTGAGTGCTGGTCATCAATATTGAAATATTTTGGATCTAAACATT